TTTGGAAGCCGTTAAAGCGAAAATCTCCGATCATATGCGTTTTACTCAACCCAAATCAGATACCGTCTGGACTACGCATACAGTTTGCGCGCACGGTAAGTACTACATTTGACCTCGTTTTAAAAGTCCCTGCCCCAACTATAGACCAGGCAATAAAGAGAAAAATATCTAAATTTTCGCGGCCCGGTCCGATTTTAATGAGGTTTTTTGGTATGAAATCTAAAGTTCCCGAAATGACTGGAAAAATGGATCTCGGGGGTTTTTGCCGGTGCTGATTCCGAATCTGACCCTGCCAAATGCGTCCGATGACTATTTCTTATTATTTTGGGGAAGGATGAATGATAAATTAATGGAAAATCATGGGACGAAACTCAATCTAAAAAGTTCGGTTGGAAAAAGAAAGGATAAGCCTGATAATTTTATTAAATATATTTATTGTTCTAAAGTATAAAGTATTTTTATTGTTCTAAACACGGTGCAAAACAATCATGATTTTTTTTTAAAAATCAAAAAACCCGATTTTTTTTATTTAAATCAGATTTTTTTTTACTTGGATCAGATTTTTTGTTTAAATCGCATTTTCTAGTAATTAACGTCTTATTTCCTGTCAATAATGCCTAATTAGCCGCACCTATACAATAACAAACATTTCCACAGCGCTGCAAAAAAAAAATGAAACAAAATTAAATTTTCCAATCGTATGGTGGATATCTCACAAGGATGTATTTGGAAACAATGGAGATGCGATTATCAAAATTACTAGGCAACTTCTGGGAGCTGTGGCATCATCGGCGGTCGGTGGAAAGAATTTTTTCTTCGTTTGGATTAGTCCATTCTAAATTGAGGAATCGACTGGGAGTAGAGAAGGCAGGCAAATTGGTGTTTTTGTTTAATCGTTACAACAGCAAGTGTAATATTTTATTTGATGAATAACTATTAGGTATATTTGTGTTATATGATATATTAGTTTTAAATCTTTTACATTTATTTTTTGAGTTATTAAAAATATTAAAATATTAAAACAGAAAGTTTATTATTTTATTGATGAATAGATATTAAGTTTGTGTTGAATGAATCATATTTTATAGTTTTGTAACTTTTACAGTTATTTTTCGATTTAATAAAAGCGTTTAAAAAAGTTGATTTTTTTAAATTTATTCCCATGATTAAAATAAAAAATCAACTGATTTAAAACACGATTTAAATCTTGATTTAAATCAAGTTGATTTAAATCTTTGCACCCTGGTTCTAAAGTATAAAAGTATATTTATTGTTTTAAAATATATATTGTCTTAAAATATATTCAATGCACATTCCTTCTGTATTAATTGTCACACGGGCTCATTTATCAAACAACTATAAAAACCAATCAAAATTATCTTCCTCCTCTTCCTCTTCCCCAAAATAATCAGAAATAGTCATCAGATGCATTTGGCAGGGTCAGATTCGGAATCAGCACCCATGAAAACCCCTGAGATACATTTTCCCAATCATTTCGAGAACTTTCGGATAATAAAAAAGGTGGGACTTTTTTCCGACGGTCTTTCTGAAGAAAATGCAAAAAACCGCATTAAAATCGGACCGAGCCGCGAAAATTTAGATATTTTTCTCTTTATTGCCTGGTCTATAGTTGGGGCAGGGGCTTTTAAAACGAGGTCAAATGTACCACTTACCGTACGCGCAAACTGTATGCATAGTCCAGACGGTATCTGATTTGGGTTGGATAAAACGCATACGATCGGAGATTTTTGCTTTAACGGCTTCCAAATAACATCAGAAATTATAATTTTTCTATGCAAAAAAAAAAAGTGGGTATAATTGTTATTGCAAAAAAGTATAAAAAATAGCAAAAAAAATAATTTTTTTCTTGGATTTCTCGTCGACAACTTAGCAACTATTCATTTTAGGCAAAAATGGAAAAGGAAAAAAGTTTTGTAATTAAATTTTGATAAAGATAGTTAGTTGCAATTCAAAAAAATAAATATTGTTATTGCAAAAATCGGAATAATCATTTAAAAAATTGCAAAAATGCTAGTTCCAGTCATTCGGAGAACCTTGGAATCCACGTGCGCCCCGCGCCCCCCAGGCGGCCGGAAGTCGCCCCCCGGGGGGTCGAGTGGACTGGATATATGCATATTCGAATTCTGCTCCCCCCAAAACCCTTGAGTACCAATTTTTGCGGTATTTCGTGCACTTTGGCAAGTTTCTCGGATGTGATGCACTTCTAGATGCACTTTATGCACCCGCGATGCATTTTCGTTACTTCCGGATAATTATGATAGATATTTTGGGGTAAATCGTTCTTTATTGCCTGGTCTACTACGCTGTCAGCAACTTTCATTTTCGTACTCCCCCGAAGGTCTAGAATATACAGGGTGACTCAGTCATAATGTCATTAATTTTAACCACGTATTCGGAAGGCTTAATAAAGACAGAAAATAGGAAAAAAAAATTTTTACTCGACTTTTAAAAATGAAGGAAATCGACCCATAACTCCCGCTACGAGGGCGGCCCTGGCCGATGCCCGGATGCTCGGAAAATTATGTAACGTAATGTCACGAACAGTTTTCAGCTAAAGGAACAGCGTTGCCAAGTTCACATCATAATGTGTGGTTCACATTTACAGTTAAACGTATTCAAGTAAATAAAGGAGCATGCTACATTTTATTATAAATAATTTTAACAATTGTATTAACTTAGTGTAGAATGTTTTAACGAGTCTGACTTCTCAAAGTAAACTTTCGTTAAAAGAACATACATAAAGCAGAGGTAGTTGCCTGTTTGTAGGCACACCGTATTTTATCAAATAAAAAAGTCGGCACACTACTAAATACCCAAATATACAAAATACACTACACACGGTTACAAAACCGTTAACAATTTAAAGCGTTTATTCAAATCTACCACCCTCCATATCTCCCGCATTTTTCCCGCAAAGGAGTTAACATAACACATTTTCAAAAAGTTCAAGCTTTAGAAGCAGCTGATCTCCCCAATCGTCTTGAATTTTGCAATTGGTTCCTAAGTGCAGCAGAACTTTATTAACAAAGGGCTCTGGACGGATGAATGCTGTTTTATTTGTGCTGGCATTTTAAACAGGTAAAAAATATAAGTATTGCTTTCTCAAAAACAATAAGGGCCTACCTAGGTTACACCAAAGTTTAGATTTACACTAAAGTTTACATTTATTATGTAAACTTTGGTTATACGCAACTGCATATTGAATAATAAATTGAAATACTAAAAATGTGTATTATTTAACATAATAAATGATAAAACGTGAAAACGTTAATATTAAAAATGATAAATTGTAATAACCGTACATTGGAAAACAATCATCCGTATTCATTACATTGTTTGCAGTTATGTGACTCTGTTTGCCACGGCACTCTATCTGGTTCCTGGACTATTTGTACACATGCAAATTAAAAAGTGGGCCATTGACCTACACGGTCCGTAAAAAAGGATCGTGGTTGACCTAGATACAGGTTAACCTAGGTCGGAATCACGTACTGAGTTGTTTACTTGTCTCCGTCCGATTGTTTTTTTATCTTCTATTACTTACAGTCAGTATTTAAATACTACATACATTTCACCCTCTCTTTATAATTTATCTAGTGAGTGTTGGTTTTTTGTCATTATTTTTGTAATGAAATTGAAATGGTTGTGAAATTAAATTTAAATTACTTGAACTCTTGGAGTTTTGTTAACTTCAATATTAAATTTTATTTAAAGTGAAACAGAGCTAATTTCCTTGCAGCCATAATAGTCACATTTGGTCAGATGAAAAACCGCACACTACTCGTCGGTTTAGCTTTCATAGGAGATTTGGTGTCGATGTATTATGGGGAGAAGTATATGGCGATCGTTTAATGGGCCGCATTTTCTACCTGAACATCGGAATGGGCCACGTTACTTTCAATTTTTAGTAGAATTGTTTGAAAACCTTCCCCTTCAGATGCTACGGGATATGTGGTATATGCACGACGGAGATCCGGCCCATTTTGCTCGCAATATCCGTGTATTTTTAGACGATCAATGTCCCAATCGGTGGACAGGGATATGAGGGCCCATAATTCTATAGACTTTTGTATATGGGGTTATATGAAATCTGTCGTGTATCACACCGAGGTAGAGAATGTAGAGCAGTTGAGGAATCGTATCGAAGATGCCGCTGAAGAAATACGTAACAACCTGGTTTATTCCATCGCATCCGCCGCTCATCTATCTAACGTGTACACTTGTGCATAGACGGTAATGGTAATGTATTTGAACATTTGCTTACAGCAAAAAATTAACATTATGATGTTAATAAAAACTGATTTTTGGCAAGGCATGCTCAGACCTCCTCGAGGTTCTTGCTGGGCAACAATAACAATTTAATGTGTTGATTGCATAATTATAAAAAATAATTTATGGCATTTTAAATTATTATTTGCTGACGTGAGCAAACCGTTTATTTATTGTCTTTATATGAGCGAAAATATGTAAATATGGCAATGTTGCATCTAGGGTGCGTTGTGCATATCGTAGCCATGCTCAAATTCTAAATAACCGACGACGTCAGCCTGTCAGTAACAGCCTGAAAAGGGGGTTAAATAATGATTTGGAAATATTTTTTTCTGCTTAAATATGCATTTAATTTTTTTTTAATCACGCCATCGTATTATACTTATTTTTCACTATCTGCTCTTAAAATTAATGACATTATAACTGAATCACCCTGTATATTATGAGTTGCTGACATTAATCTGATCACGGGGTGATTTTTGTATTTACCCCCGCACCCCCAAACCCTGCCCCACAAGGGGTGTCAGCAAACTCTGAAACCCTGTTATACAACATACGACCAACACATTAAAAACAAAATTGGCCATTAATCCGATCACGGGAGATTTTGACACCAATCTCTCCGTCTATAATGACAAGTCATAATAAAACAACTTCCAGTCAATGAAATGTGGTAAATTACAGTAACCATAAATTTTATTTATACTTACTGTTGCCTTTTTGAGGTTTTCTCTCGCTCAAAACTTTAAGTCTTTTTGTTTCATTTGTCATTGGAGTACCATGCTTTCTTTTTGTCGTAGATTGAGGTGTGCCAGATCTTAAGTTCATATGACTTGTTGATGGAAAAAGACTCAAAGCGGATTTTGCTGGAGTTAAAGTTTGTTCTCGTTGCATTTTTCGTGCACTCAGTTTTTGTTTTTTTGCCTGAAAATAATAAAATTCAAATGATTTTACAAATAGATATTTCCAAAATATACAGATGTTCCGATTTATACGTGTACATGCTCTTACCAAGTAAAAACATAAAGATTAAATATATTTTTTATTAGACGTCGGGTGCCAGATGGCAGCACCAGGATCGTCTATTCCTGAAATATAGAAGGCAACCCCCATATTACTTATTTCTTTTCTTTTAATATTTGTAGTCAACAAGAATTTAAATTCACAGAGTAATTTGGAACACATCTTTCACCATTCGACAAAATGTTAACAGTCTGTTTTAATTATCTTTTAACATTCCTTTTGTTGTCCGACAGAATTATTTTGTTTTCAATATCTTTACCAGTATATTTTCTATAAATTTCAATTCATTATTAAAAATGTAATCTCTTGAAATGTCAAAGACTGAGATGCACAATATACAGTGATATATATTTTGCACTCTATCTGCTTTTTTCAGTACGAGATTTTTGATTGGCCTATATAATACTATTATTATAAAAATAACCCTTGACTGATCCTTTGGGCGCAAGGGATTATTTCTTTAATTATTAAATTCTTCAGAGGTGACAAAATACCCAAATATATGAAGAAAAAACAAAAACACAAATAAATAATTTCAGACAATATTCCACAACCTTTGGAATGGGTTATTTTTTTCAATTAAAAAAAATAATTTCATAAAAACTGAAAATTGTGTAAAAATGCCAATTTCCTTCTTTTTTTAAATAGTAATTAAGGAAAAATTGATTAATAACAAAAAAATATTACTGAAATTAATACCAGAAATTGTTATATTTTTAATTTTTACAAATTTAAAAATGAATAGTGTAGAATTGTGTTATTAGGCTAATAAGATCCACTTCTTATTTGTGGAAGGACAAAATGGGGTGACTATTAGACGCCTTCATTATAGCCATCTTTCTCTATCGCACGGATTTCTATTACTTACTTTATCGCTCTCACGTAACGGCCGATGAACCATGGGGACTCTCCGACCCTGTATTACAATACTTGATAAAGTGCTAGTAGGCACTGATTTTGTAGGTTGACTGTAATTTCAGTTTGATCTTTAAGTTATTGTACCTGCCAATTCTTAATGAGTATTTACTACGATAAGATATACCACATGTTACTTCATTTTTCAATATGGATACACACACATAGGACGAATTAGGGTTAATTAATTTTATTGAGATAATTAGTAAAAACAGTCAAATACAATAAAAAATGTTGGAGGTAAAAGTAACAAAGTGTATGTTATTAAATTTAGTACAACTATAAAAACTGTTCAAAATGATCGCTGTTGTTTCTATAACAAAGTTAATTCAGAGAAGAAAGTTAAAGGACACCCTTTGCAATTCCTGAGGGCAATTTTTTTAATATTTATGGCAATTAGGATATGCCTCCACAACTCTTCTTCAGTGTTAGATGTTCAAGCATACACTGTTGTTTTCAGAGTGCCCAAAGATAATAGTCGCAAGGTATTAAGTCTGGTGAACGTACAGGCCAGTTAAGAGGAGCATTATCCCTTTTATCGATCCATCAACGAGGGAATCTTTAGTTCAGATACTCCATCATGCATAAACCACATGTTAGCTCTGAGTAATAACAGCAAAACTTTCAATAACTCGGGTAAAGTGTTTTGAAAAAATTCTAAATAAAATTCCACATTTGGGTATTGGGTAGAATAACAGGGCCAATAATAATGCTATCAATGTGTTGTATTTGATTGTTTTTTCTAATCATTTGAATAAAATTAGGCACATTGTAAATAACTAATTCGTTGTATGTGTGTATCCATATCGAAAAATGAAGTAACAGATGGTAATATCTTATCGTCGTAAACACTCATTAAGAATTGTCAGGCACAATGACTTAAAAATCAGACTGAAATTACTGTCAACCTCCAAAATCAGTGCCTACTCGCCATAAATGTTTTAAAAAATTGCCCTCAGGAATTGAAAATGGTGTCTTTTAACTTTCTTCCCTGAATTAACTTTGTTGTAGAAACAACGGCAATCATTTTGAACAGTTTTTATAGTTGTACTAAATTTAATAACATGCACTTTGTTACTTTTACCTCCAGCATTTTTTATTGTATTTGCTTGTTTTTACTAATTATCTCAATAAAATTTATTAACCCTAATTTGTCGTATGTGTGTGTATCCATATCGAAAAATGAAGTAACATGTGGAGAAAAGTTATGAACATCAATTTTGTAGGAGTTATAAGTTTCAAAAAACACTCTGTATAACACCAAAATGTGTAGATCGAAAGCAAAAGTCCACACCCCAAAAATAATCAAAATCGATTAATATGTATTCGAGTTATTTACAAAATTCAAAAAATTTTCACCAATTTTGAGGCCATCTAGCCAACAAACGAAGCAATTTCAGATATAAGTGAATTAGTCTAGATCTGTCTATTTTGAGTCCACGAATCTGTGGTCTTCCATTGTACACGTTATTCTGGGACACCCTCTGTATATACATATAAACATATCTCACGAATTAGTTGACACCAGGGCTAATTCCAAAAAAGCTGAATTTTCTACAAAAAGAGCATAGCAAATATGTTGCTGAAGACATGCTTGAACGAGTTAATTCGCATTCTACATTCATGTATAGCATCAAACGGGTCACGAAACATGGTTTAAGAGTTTGATATGCAAAAAAGCCAAGAAGCTTCAGATTGGTGCTTTTCTAATGACCCGAAACAAAAAAAAAAACATGTCAAAGTGGATTCAAAATCAGTCATATTATTGACTGTTTTATTTTACTATTGTACAAAAAATTCCTTCTGGATTTGTAGAAAGACAATTCTTGGATTTTGCACCACAATAATGTACCATCACACAAAGTGATAATTGGGAATGAATTATGGACCAAAAACTAGGCGAATGTCATCAAGCAGCCACCGTATTCGCCAGATATGGCCCCTGTGGTCTTTTTCCTCTTTCCCGACCTCAAATTACAACTTCGTAGAAGTTTCGAGTCGATAGAAGCCATAAAAAAAATCACTGAAGGAGTTGAAGTCTATACCAGAATATGCATTTAAAAAGTGTTTTGACTGAGTTGTTCGTTGGAAAAGTGTATTGCTTCAAGTCGAGCCTATTTTGAAGGAGGCAAAATTAATTTTGATAATTAATTGAATATATTGTGTATTATTGACACATTCAGATACTTTTTTGTCAGAATGTATAATAAATTTGTTTCCGTTTTTTGTATGCATGGGTTAGATCAGGCAAGGGCATGCATTACATTAAATATCTTTTTTATACACACATTTTTTTATATAATTTTAAAAACATATTTAATGTGATATTATTAATCTACATTAAAAAATTCTTTACGTTTTCGAAAAAAAAAAAAAAATTATGTTAAATAGTTAATGGCTCGTACTGCTATAAATTGGAACACACTGTATATATAAAATTCAATAATATTAATGTTAAATTACTATTGACTTACATTTTCCCTTTGTTCGTGTAAGTTAGATAAATAATCAAGAACGGAAATTCCTTCAGTAGTAAAAGAAACGTTCTGGTGCTGTTTATATTTATCCGCTAAATTGTAAAGCATTTCTTCTATTTGTGGGATCTGTTTGGCCAATTTGTTTCTTTCTTTTTCTTCCTTCAGCAACTGACCCCCTCTATTATTATATCGATTCGGTCCTGTGGCATTTTCTTCTAATCCCACCATTTTATTCCAAAGACCCGCATGTTTTTCCAGCAGTGCCAACAGTTCCCTTAAAATGTAGATAGATTATATTATAAGAATAATCATAGTGCAATAGAAACTGACTTATTTTCTTCATAATACTTCTTCCATTTTGTTATTTCCACCTCATGTAGTTCCAAAAGATCTTCATTATAACAGTCTGAATTGAAAAATCCAAACTGCATTCTTGTAGTATGACTACAGTGACAGTTCTCCCAGAGCTGTTTTAATTCATTACGCAGTTTATCAATAAATACCTACAAAATCATAAGAGTAGTCAACAAAATGAACAATAACCATAACAGAAAAATTCTACGACAAGAAAATGGATTGAATACCTTTATATTAGCTTTCTTCAGTTCCTCGCAACGTTTAATTTCCTTCTGTAATGCCCGTAAAACGTCAAGAGAATTACCTATATGTTTTTGCCGAAAATCTTCTCTCTCCTTCAAGTCAATATCGAGTAGATTCCAATAATCATCAATTTTGTTGCGCAAATGGACAATTTCTTCTTTGACATTTTTTTGCTGTCTTGTCAAATTTTTATGAAGAAGATCGAGTTGTTTCATATTTTCGTCGGTAACAAGAAATACTGAATCATCCGATGAAAAGACTTTCTTCTCAAATTGAGAAGAAGGTTCCACATTAAGTTCACTAACAATTTCAAGTAATTCTTCTTTTACTGTACAAAATTTCTCCAGCCTATTATATTTTTCAGCTTCTAACTTTTCAATGTGTTGCTGAAATTCTTCAAGTTTTTCAGGAGAAGGTAGAGGATTGTCCATCAAAATCTTTGGTTCTTTTCCGAGCATATTGCACAATTCTAATTGCTTCTCATGTAACTTTTTTTGTTCACAGCGTCTTACTTCAATTAGTTTCTTATATCTATAGAAAATGCAGATTTTAAAAATATTTTTAAATATGTTCAAAAGGGCATATTTACATAAAGAAAGTAAGTACGTAAGTATTTATCCACAAACAACAAAAAAAAGTAATGTGCCATGCTTTGTTAGAAGAATTTTAAAACAGCATGAAATATTCAAATATGTGACTTACTCATTGATGTGTTTCTTTAACTCTTGCTGTTCTTGATGTAAACTAAGTTTCTGGGTGGTATCACCTAATACTGGCATACTAATTTGAAGTGTATAACATAATTGTTCAAATTCTTTTAGCAGTTGTTCAATTTTTAACAGAACATTACTCTGGACTCTCTCCATATCCGAAACCAGTTCACAACAGGTTTCTTCATAAGTTTTTATAAAAATGCTCACCCATGACTTTACAACTTCTTCGTTTTCGCCCATATTTAGGACCATTTGACACCAATATAAAAAAGTTTTACTTAGACCATCTTCTAGTACATTCCGCATTTCTTCAGCCCACGGAATTTCCTTAATACTGTGAATAAAAATGAAAACTTTACTCAGTGATATAAAGTTTCAATACTATTCATTAAATTTCTAATTGAATTTTTTTATTTTATATGTTGTATGTAAGAATAAACATCTTATAAAATCGTATGGTATTCTATAGTATCATAATAATGAAAAAGTATGTTATAAGCCTGCCATACGTCCCGTAAAATATGGGACCGTCCCTTATTTCGAGATATATGTCCAGCATCCCCAAATCTTTTGTAGGGATTTACAAAAGATTTTGTTAAAGTAGCTATTCTGTAATCTTTTCAGTAAAAAAATTAAAATGAAATAAATCTCATCTCTATAGTCAAACATGTTCAAAGAAAAAAATATGTCTCGTAGTACACTATTTTATACAAAGTTGTAGAATTTCTACTTTGCCTTCCAGGTTCTAATACTCGAATAGAAAGACTTTTTTCTAAAATGAACTTTTATTGGACAAGTAAGAAAACCAATATATTGGAAAGTACGGTAGGCAACGCTTTAATACTGCAATATAATTTAAATATAACCTGTTCAGAGATTAATGCTAGACAAAAATTTATCTGAAAAAAATTCACAAAAGTGACAATAGTAAGACAGATTCTAATTAAAATTTTTATTCGTCAACTTCTGATTTTGTAACGTTTTTGTAAACGTTAGTTCCTCCAAGTTCCTTTTAAGTGCCTAAAAAACCAAAGAATGTTATTTTAGTTTAAACTTAATAAATATATATTTAAAAACTTTTTTTTTGAAGTTTATTCGTCGCCGTAAAAGCTATAGTCCAATCAATTTTTCACGTATTTTGTTTTCTATTTTTTCGTTACCAGATTCCAGAAAAGAATTCTCCAAGATTTACAAAAAATATGGTAGGCTTCTGTTTGTATTGCTTTGCTGTAAAGTCGAGAATAAAGCTAATATGTTAAACAACACTAAATGTTAATTAAATTTTACAACTTTTATCTGCCTGTCTTTTAGAAACAGAATTATCTTAATATTTAATTATACGATATAAATTTTTGTAATTCTATCACTGGTGGCGACATGAGGATTTATATATGATACATTATATAAACTATGAAATGTAATTTTGATAAAAGGAATGTACTTATATATTTAAATATAAAGTTCTAAGAATCCTTTGGAATGAATAACTTACATGTTTGCATTCACTGTAGGCAAATCGATGAATTTTTCTTTTTGACACTCCATCCTTCAACTAACTGAAACAAATGTCTTGTCTAAACACTTGAACTAAAAAAATCGGTCTCAAATATCAGTTGAAAAACCAAACAAGAAAACGGCTAGACAAAAAGTTGAAAACGACATTTAAGACTGTTAAAAACTTTTAAACTCAACCATAGAATCTCAACCGTCAATTTACAAGTAGAGGAACATGTACGATGTAAAATCCCCAAAGCAAGTAAATTACTATACTAGTGGTCATAGATCGTATCAGGGAGACTAGATAAGTCTCCATGGATCGTATAGTCAAGAACGATGAATAGAGGTTAAAGATTTATACAAAACAAAAATTCTAGGGGCTGGAACAGCTATTTTCCTATTTTAAAAAATACCTTACGGGTACGGGCTTAGAGCATATACTATTGGAGGCAGGGCCGACGCTAGGGTATTTGGCACCTGAAGCAAATATTTGCTTGCCGCCCGTTGGAACAAATAACAAATTTATTAATAAAAAGTTATATAAAATGAAAAAAACATTTCAATAGACAAAAATAAATAAACAAATATTTTAGCAAAAAAAAACAAATAGAAATTATAAGAAACATCTTAAAAAAATAAAAAAGAAACTAAATTATGTCAAAACGGGATCTTTACACATATCATGCGCTTTGTTAAGGTGGCCCTTAGGCTAGCGCGGGAGGGGAGGGGAAAGGAGGGTATGGTGTGTGTGCGTGTGTGCGTGTGAGTGTGCGTGTGCGTGTGGGTGTGTGTGTGTGGGTGTGCGGGTGTGCGGGTGTGCGGGTGTGAGTGTGGGTGTGGGTGAGTGTGAGTGTGTGTGTGTGTGTGTGTTTGTGTGTGTGTGTGTGTGTGTGTGTGGGCGCGCGTGCGCGCGCGTGGTTGTGCGTGGGTGTGTGTGTGTGTGTGTGTGTGTGTGTGTGTGTGTGTGTGTGTGTGTGTGTGTGTGTGTGTGTGTGTGTGTGTGTTGATCCTGGCGCTGAAACAGAAAAGATTAGCGGGCAGGGGTGGATGTCGTTGGGGTGGTCACCCATCAGGGTCAAAAAGTTGGTGTCTAGGACTTTTGTGTTTGTCGGACAAGTCGGGTACGTAGTCAACGGCTTGCCTGAGGAGGGGATTGTCATGTCTAGCGGCTACGTCAAACCGTTTCTCCGCGTTTTGTCTTATTGTCTGTGTAACGTTTGTGTATTGTAAGTCTCGTAATATGTCAGTGTTTCTTACATACCAGGCAGCGTTGCCAGATTTTTTTTCGGGCAAAGCGGGATTTTGAAACTTTTTGAATAAAAAAGCGGGATTCTTTCGTGCAAAATCGGGACGTACTACGGGTTTGTATATAAAAAAGAGGTCTCACTCGTGTCTTCAAAAATATCGATGTCTAAAAAAAAAGGACGTTAATAACCGATCTGGAAAAAATCATTCGAGAGCGGGAAAAGCGGGACTGAGCGTGTCCCGCGCGGGACATTTAATTTTGGGTTAAAAAGCGGGACGTCCCGCCAAAATCGGGACGTCTGGCAACGCTGGTAACAGGGCACGTCGGTAGCCGTGCGGAGGGCTATGTTTTCCACAGCCTGTAATGACTTTAACTGGCTTTTTGCCGCGTGACCCCACGCCGTGGAGGCGTAGGTTAGCTGCGGTTGAAGTACCACCTTGATAAGCGTTCGCTTATTCCTTAAACTGAGTGTGTTTCCACCTTTGAGTAAGGGATAGAGTCTAGCCCTGGTGGTTTTCGCTCGCGCCACCGTTTCCACGATGTGCGGTTTCCACGTGAGACGCTGGTCCATCGTCACGCCCAGGTATCGTGTTTGTCGATTCCAGGAGATGAGTTCCTGGGATAGTGTCAGTCAGATTTTGTGGGATTTTTCGTTTGGTAAAAAGGATAGCCGAACTATTGTTGGGATTAATTTTGACTATCCACCTGTTGCACCAGGTTTCGAGTTGGTCTAAGGAGTATCTAGGATCTACGGATTGGGATGTGATTGTCAGGTCGTTGGCGTATAAGTATATGTTGGTGTTGGGGGGATGTGGGATGTCGGAGTTGTAAATGGTGTATAGGTGTGCGGACAGGACCGTGCCCTCTGGGGGACACCTTGGATTTGGAATCACATATCAACTTTTCTACATTTTTCATTAACAAAGTCTTCAATAATATCAGCGTAAACCAACTTATTTGTCTTGTTGTCTTTTATGTCTTTCTCGATAGCAAAATTGGCTAAGTCTATTAACTATTCCTGAGCCATGATTGATCGTAAATATTTTTTATAATTTTTAATTTTGAAAATGAACGTTCTCCACTGGCCACAGACACAGGAATGGTTAAAATCCTTAAAGATACCAGGATGTTAGCGAAATTTTCGCTCAACTCGTTGATTTCTAAATAATTAATAAAAGCACAAAGCACGCATTCGGGGTCAAAAATTGTTTTTTTTTCAGATTTTTGTGCAATTTGTAATTTTTGAAATTTATAAAACGTTAATAATCAAGTCTTAAAATGCCGCCCTTAAAAAAATGCCGCCTGAAACATCTGCTTCGCTGTTTCACCCCTTCCGCCGGCTCTGACTGGAGTCAGCGTCTTCTGTGGTCTCAGTTCATAGGCCGAGAGAGTAGCGGAGGTTTAGATAGGAGGGTATGTGCTATCTCTCTCTAGCAGCACGCGATTGCATGTTACTAGAAAGAGATAGCACATACACTTCTATACGCCTCTCTCTCTCTAAACCTCCGCTACAGTCTCGGCCACTGGGACGCTGCCTCCAGTAGTATATGTTCTAAGGCTACGGGTAACTTTCCGAACAGAAAAAAGATAGCAGAGTTCAGAGTTCATAAAACTAATGCAGGGACAAATCGTCTGACGTCAAAGCTATGCATAAATTTTTAATGAATTAATCTATAATCTTACTACAAAGCAAGCATTTTTATAATTTTCATTAAAATGGGCAAATTTAACGTTATATAGGGTGGTCCGAATTTTATGCAGGAAACTTCGAGGGTGGATAGATCTCTTTAAAATAATATGTGTTTGCCTTAAAAACATAGGTCTGGAACTATCCCGTTTTAGAGATACAGGGTGTTGAGGTTTAAAAAAATATATTTTTTGTTTATATCGCATACTACCTCACAGGTGGTGTAGAAAGGAGTGTAAATAATTGCACTTACTTTTAAATATAAACAAATATTCTTGTAATATTATTGTTAGAAAGTGTCTGCCACAAGGGGATTGTATTGTTAATATTGGTATGAATAACGTGAGAACGGCTAATCTTAGGGAAAAAATTAAGGTTAACCTTTTTTTAAGTATTTTATGCATTAGAATACAAATCAGTTACAATGACATGTAAAAAATGCAGTGGCGTAGGTTTTTTGTAAAAAAGGGGGTGACCCTTGTCCAGTTGTACACCACTGGTTGAACCTTTAAAGCTCATATTTCATGGAATATAAGGCCTACTATCATACATTGTATGTACCAAATTTTATTGAGATCGGTTAATAGATTCCGGAAATAAAAAAAAAAAAAAAATTTTTTTTGACAACTTCAACACCCTGTATCTCCAAAACGGTGCCGTTCCAGACCTATGTTTATAAGGCAAACACGTATTATTTTAAAGAGATATCTATCTGCCCTCGAAGTTTCCTGCATAAAATTCGGACCACCCTGTATATCATACTAATTAATGATGCACTGAATACTGAACGAACCAATAAACCCTCTAAATTTTAAGGTTAGAGATAAATAGAAAGACCTCGTACTACACCCTACCCATTTTAGTTTTAACAGTCATGGTAAAATAAATATTTGTATTTGTATATTTGTTTTCTGAGTCAACAGGAAAATATTATAAACAAACATTGTTATTTAGACAATTTTTTATTAAAATGAACAAATTCAACTCTCTTTATACACTCGACAACAAAACTTTAACAAAATGGTTGCATAGTGTCTTACTTTCTCTGTTTGGCACGTTTGATCTTACAAGTGTTTCACGTATTGAGAATATTGAGATATTAAAAATATTAAAATCATTTTATTTGCGTTTTTCCTGAGAAAATGGTGAAAAGTTGTGCATACGATTGCAAAAATATTGTATTAGATTAAAAAATTAATGATCATAATTACGCCATTAATCTAAATATAATTTCTGCCTTTACAACGTTTGTTTCAAAGGCACACCTATACATATGTATATACCTGCAAGTGGTGTTTTTAAAATTATTGAATTTTCAGAAAAAATATATAAATCTTTTATTATCTTAGAGCATATACTACGCTCTAACACTGCCGTCTTTGAAGACGGCCGTGGCTCTAAGCTTATTACTGCTGGTCGGTGTCGACAAAAAGTGTTTAAATTAAAATTGGTTTCTGCAATATCATCACACTTTATACCTTTAATTTCAAAATATCTTTTTGAACCACATCCTGTAACGGACAGTTATAGTGACCCTGACGATCATGACGTGCAAATTATTAAATTCTTTGCAAATGGTTATTCTGACTTATACATATAAGAATAATCTATACAGACGCCAAAAAATGACACAAATAATTTTAGGTAACAATAAAGCAGGTCTTCGACAAAAATTTAACTAAAACTATTTTGTATTATTATGTATATATTTTTTATACAGGGTGGCTCACGGTGACGGCCCATTAGAATTATTTCAGACTACTTCGATTTGTATTTTGAAAATTTGGGATATCAGGTTTTCGGGCATGCCCTTCTCAACTAAAATAATGGCGTCCACGTACCACTTCCGGTTATACCAAAAGTCGTCATCAACTTGCTTATTTTAAATGGAACATCCTATATATTATTGCAATTTTGTATTCTACGTGTTATTTTAGGTGGACTTTTATGAAGTTTCCCTGTTTCCAACATTAACCGTTTTCGAGTTATTTAATTTAAAAAAAAATGGGAGAGAAACAGTGACTAGCTTCAAACCATGTGTATTTTATACTAAGAAAGATATACCAACAATATTTATAGAGGGATAGGTAGACCCCTTAAGCTTCCCATCCATACTTTCAAAGTGGCTTAATTGCATACAGGGTGCTAGAAATTTAATGCCGAGTTTAGTTAACTTCAAACCTTCATAAGTCGTTTTTTTTTTAATGGAACACCCTGTATGTTTTTCTATATACACAAGAT